TCTGATGGAAGGACAAAACAAAATTTGGCACCAACAGTCTCTGATGTTTGAAAACTACTCAAAGTGTGATGATATGAACAAATGTTAATGCTAAACAGTTTGACTGAGGGGTGTGATATATCTCATTATGAAATGGTAGATAATGACTTAATCCAAGCACATTTTGCAATCAATTATGGATCTGTTACTTGGAGTTGAGCACTGAGAGGTTTCATGGAAAAGCCCAAGTGCAGATTTCAGAGAGGTGTAAGAGTTTTGCTTGCACAGCTCAGCCAGGTAGAGCAATGTATTAGCTGCAGTAATTTTGTCTAGGCTAGAACACATTCAAGGAGATAGTGTAATATACCATGGTAATGATATAATTTGTCTAAGGGATTAGAAAGATAATTAGGACAAGGTTGAAACCCTCACTGCCAGGTGGCATGCCTGCCCAGGACCCAGCCCTGCACAGTCAGGACAGTGGGACACAGGTCTCCAGATGGTGGATCACTGCCTGGCACAGCCACACCACAGTACTGGTGCCACCACAGGGCCTGGAGTGGAGTGTTCCCTGTCCCTGATGGGAGCTGCCGAATTCCCGCACTGCAGAAGAGGCAATCATCCAGATCAGTCATTGCACATGGCTGGGAAATAAAAATATTCATTACTTTTCTAGCTCAGATCCAGCTCCTGTCTGCTGGGAAAACTCAGTGCAGCTTAATTAAGTGAGTGGGGTGGTATCAGTAAGGACTGAAGGTTTGATAACTTAGTTGAAGCAGAACACTTTTATCCACCAGATTTTTCACCACTGCAGAAGTGTGACCTGGAGTTTCCAGGTGACCTAAAGAAGAGCTGATTGGTTTAAGAGCACACCCTTGTTTTTCCTCCAGCTGTCCTGAAGACTCCAACAGTATGAGATCATATCTCTTCCCACAGACCAGGTCTCTCCACACCAAAGGCCCTGCAGAGCTCTGTTGCACTGAGGGTGAGCAGATGCTGCTGTAAGTTATTAACTGTGACTTTCAATTCAGCCTGACAAGAAGGAGTTAATGGAGGAGCCCCATTACAATGGTAGACAGGAAAATAAAAGCCACACTGAATCTACTTTTCTTGTCTCCCTTGTTTTCAAAGACAGTGCTACTGGCATAACACAGAATGCCCTGTTCATTCATTTGCTGATAATGCTGCTCCCTTTGGGGGTGAGACACAGCTACTTCGTGGGTATAGAGTAACTTATTCAACCACAAAGAGAAACCTCTTCCTTCCTTTAAACTGTTCTCAGACTACCAAAGCAGCTACTGATGATGACCTACATATTGCTGGCTACTTTTCTCACTAGTAGCAATGGAAAGCCGGAGATAACAATCTTGTTTTTTCAAGTGCTTAAGATCTTATTGCTTTTATTCTTGTTTCTGTTATATTTGCCAACTAAAACTAAGGGTTATATTGTACCGTGTGAGTCTACACCAGAGAATTTTAGAAAATGCTTAACCTGGGGTATGATCTCTATATTTGTAGTTATGAGTAGAGATTAACAGGTTTAATAAGCCAGACAGAGAGCATCAGACAAAGTTGGTCTCCAGTTTCATCAATGGAAATGTAGAAATCTTGCATTCAGAGCAAGAAGTTCACTACAAAATGGAATAACTAAGGGTAGGCTTTTGTCTACTAGTTAAGATTGGATGAAATTGTAGGGTTTTTCTTCTGCTGCCATGGGGTTTTGTGTGCTAAAGTGAGAGTTTAGTGAAAATTTCTACAGATATGTAGATTTTACTGTAATTGCACTATGACAAATGGCACAGCAATATAATGCAGGAACGAGTATGTCTTGTTGTGGAAGTTTTCTTCATGCCTCTTCCTCAGAGTGTTTCTTTTGAAAGACCATTTCTTTAATGGCTTCTACTTCCACAAAACTGCTAGTAAAGGGTTGGGAATGCACACTTGGGCACTAAACAGGATCAGACACAACATGTTTCCACGTCTTCATGCTCTCTGTCCTGTATGTTGTAAGAACAGTTGCTGATTCCAAATCTTCCTCTTTTGCTACAACACTGGAGCACCTTGACACCAGCTTTTCTTCCCTGATATTTAACAGATCAAGTAAAATCCTTGGAAGATCTCCATCCTCTTTGACATTTCCCTGATAATGTCTTGTACTTTTAGCTGACATCCATAGAGATAGTGTATTTATGTCTTTGAGCCTTTCTGAAGAAGTTACACCCATGCACATCTGCTGAGCCATTAAGTCAGCATCATGCATAGTGTTACAAGTACCACCTACACCAGTTGCTGCAGGTGGTTCTTAAATTTCAAAGACTGTCTGACAGGACTTCTTAACAACTGCCCTTCCGTTTTCCAGTTAAAACTCGTTTTCATCTCGCAGTTAATTTTGAGGTTCAGCCCACTGGAATTTTTTTACTGGGGTGATGTGCATTGAAAAGCCTGAAAAAGTGTGAATTCTTTTGAAAGCAGCAACACCCCTCATCCCCTTTAGCAGTAAGTACATATAGATCCAAAGCCATGTGCTTTTGAAACTCCCTTTAGTCCCGTTTTTTTCCTTCCGAGTTGCCCTTGATTTTGCCTCTTTGCTGCCGATTCCTCCCCTCTCCCTTTAGCAGCGTCCCTGATTTATATGTCAGTGCTGAGTGCATCTGATCAAAACATGGCAAAGTTGCTGGTTCAGCACTCGCAGCAGGGGATGGGAGAAATGGGCTATGTCTAATCCTACTTTGTAATCGCTGTCACAACGCTGTGGCGCTGCCAGTTGGCAAGAGGAGCAACAGCGGAATTTGGAGGAGATAATGACAGGTGCTCACAGCACATCTAGGGCAGCACGTGCTGGAAAACAAGGGTTTTGGTTTTTTTTTTAACCAGCCTGCTTAGACTTTAAAATAAAAAGCACATTGGTTTCAGAAACAACAGCCTACATTAAAGAGTGTGCGGGGTGCTGCATGTGGCAGGAAAACTGAGCGGGCTCCAGAGCAACGTCTGGCTATGTGATTGTACTAAATTATATCTATATTCAGCTCTGCTTAGAATGAAGTAGCTCTAAGAAGCTCAACTAGGTAGGGTGGTGGTTTTTTTTTTTTAACTTCAGCCCAAGAAAATTTTGTGGGAGGAGTCACTTTGGAAAGGTGGGAAAGCCTTTACCCTCAGGTTGCCTCAGTAAGAAGCTCCCGCTGTGATACTTGAAAGCCCAATAGACATGTCTGAATTTATAATACACTCTTGAAGTATTCATTCATAATCCTGTAGGGATTTTCAAAGCCACAAAGAGGATGTATTTCTTTTAACTGGCTACAGGGAAAATATTAGTTCCTGCTGTAATAAACAAATAGTCTGTTTTGGTGCAAGAGGAGAAATTTGAAGAGTCAGAGCAAAGAAAGGGGAACAGTTCTGACACCCTTGGAAGTGTCTGTTTTTCTAAAATATGATACACCATGAACTACTTCTATTTTCTCCTCTTTCTTTACTCCTTGAAACTTCCCTGTTGTAACCTGGTGCTCCACCAGTGTGAACCAAAATCACTGCATTCATACCAGGTGAACTCTTCATCCAGATGACTGTACAATTAAAAGAAAGGGAATACTAAGATATATTAAGAAGAATGAAACAGAAGGACTATTTTTCCCTTGTATCATTTGCCCACCAATCTCTGGGCATAGCACAAAGGAGGATAAGTGGCATTGCACCTCTGCTTCATGCAGCCACTTGTGTCTGCCTCCACAGCTTGTATGGGCTTGTGCAGACAAACAATTATGGTCAGTAAACACAGGCCTTCAAGAATATGGGCCAGAATGGTGAGGAGTAGAGGCTGGGAACAGCAGATCCCTTATACAATGGGATTCTGTTGCCCTCAGGTTAAAATGAGTTTGTGTCGCTAAAAAAAAAAAAAAAAAATTAGCCATTTCTAATCAGTCATGGAACTCCTAACCCCTCTCTGCAAAATACTCCTGCAGACATTCACCTCTTTTGCAGCAGGCTGGGACAAGCCCTTAATGTACATCATGGAATTTAAGCAGCATCTATCCTTTGTGCCTCATGTGCACATAAGGTGAATTCCATAACTAAGCACAGTCCCTTGCCAGTAGGTGAGGTGGTTGCACACACCTTCACCCCCAACTCACACCATCATTCTGAAAGAAGGGGTCTATCCTATTCTTTTTGTTGTTGTTGATGTGAGAGATGTGATTTGCTTTTAGAAATAGAGGAGACAAATTTCAATTTGTTCTTATACTTCTCTTATTTGTCTATTCTAGACCATCTCACATACTTCTTAATCTCTACTTTAGATGAGGCACAATGGCTGCATAAATTTAGCAGCCCAGGATAGGAAATGGGAAAGAACAGTTAATATAAGGGAAGCTACAAAGAAGCTTGAAGCAGGCACAGTGTAGCTTCATCCATTTTGATGAAGAGGATCCAAAAAGATCCACTCAGAAGAGAGTGTGTGGCACCCTGTTCCTACTGAAAGTACCAAGGAATTCTCTGATGCCTGGATGTGATCAGGACCAAGTTGAACCTGTTATGTCACCCACCACATTTCCTGTAGCACAAGTTGTTTTTGCTAGAAGTCTGTTAATCCAGTATGGAGTGAATCCAGCTTTGTTAAGCTTGTGAAATCAGAGCCTGAGGTGGAATAGATGCAGATCATACTATGTGCCCACATCAGAGATCCTTCCCAAGATACCTATCTAAGAGAAGATACTGGAGAGAGAATTAACCTACTTGAATAACTAGTGGCTTTAACTGCTCTGAATTACAAAAGGTTTCCCTGAAGAGGGGAACTCAAGTTTCCCTGGATGACCATGCTTTATACATCAGTAGAGGGACTCCATTCTTACTGTTGTGTTGTAATTTTACATTCTGTCAGGCTTCAGGAATTAACATGCACTGCTGCCCAACGTGAGGGCTTACAAACAAACATATTGTAGCCTCCAAAATAAATGTGACATTATAAAAGCTTGGGGAAATGGGTGGACTAAGCTGAGCACTAAAACTCCTTATCAACAGAGGACAAGGTTTGTTAAATTTCCAGTAAATAAGAAAGCCCCAGAAACCAGGTGAACGGCTGAACTGCAAGGTAAGCACTTGGAATTCTCCACGGCAAATTCCCTTCGCCACCTGAACTCCCATGGCCCAATCTCCTCTTCCCTTATTTAGAAGCTGAGTAACAGCAGGGTCTTATCTTGGGAAGTCACTGTCAGCTCAGCTGGGGAACAGTGTACTGGAAGCAGCATTTTCCTCTATAAACACATTAATTGGAGCCCATTTCCCCCCTCTACATGTCCATAACTTGCACTATTAATGGGAGCTCTGCAGGCTTGTCAGCCTACTGGAAACATCCTTTTTTGGGGTCACTGCAAGCTCAGCTGTCTTTCATTACCTCCACATTCGTCACCTTTTTTTTTTTTCCTCCTTGAAAATAATTTTCTTACTTCTCCTATATTAGTACAGGGATTGAAATGAAACCTGATGTGTCAGATGTGGATTCAAAATGTCCTGTAAATTCAAAATGTTGTAAATGGCTGTTACAAAAGGGAGAACAAGGGCACTTGGCTGTTGAGAGAGTCATGTTTGCAGCACTGAACTTTAGGAATGAGAGTGGTCAATGAGGAAAATAAGATTTCTGTTAGAAGACATTAGAGGTCAGGACATATTTCTTGTACTGCAGAAATCAGTCCATTTGTAACGACTTTCTAAACTAATGTACTGTTTAATACATCATTCTGGATTTTACAGCATATTTGGACTACTAGCAGGTTGAAAGGGTTCACAAAAATGCAGATACAGGAAATCTACAGCAAAATATGCTGGCAATTATTCTGCTGCAGATTTCGCTTCCAAATCCCACTGAAAGAGAAGCTGGTTATTATGTAGAGTCCAAGCCAAGACTGCAAATGCCAACCTAGCTTTATTTTAGGAGATTCATAGACATTCTACTGCTGTGAAGTTCATCCTGAGAACAGAACTTGGCCTGTTTCTCTAGTCTTTATAAACTGGCTCCTTTCCTGATACCCAGACACTTAAACTCTTTCTTAACTGCTGAGATTTGAAAAGTTACCAGTAAACTGTCCTTGTTTGTGAGCAACTTCAATTTTCTTTCATATTTCATGCAATGATTTTCCATCTTGGTGAACTTAAGTCCACATTGAAATCCCTTAATGTGCTATTAAGTCTTCATTAGGGAGTCTTTTTTTCTCTCCCCTTTAAACCACTTTGGATTAAAATAATTACTTTTGTTTAATATGGGATCAGAGACTCACCTGACCTGTCTCTGCAAGAGATTTGACAACGCCCAGGTCAGTATTTTCCCCCGGTGAGAAAGCACTTTTTGTGCAGCTCACCCTGGGAAGCTGCTGCAAAGCCTGTGCTTCAGCTAATAACCAGATTAGTTGTCCCATTTGTCACTTCCAACTTCCGTGGTGCTTGAATGGTGCAGGAAATTACTGCCAGCGGAAAAAGGAGCAAAGCAGAAAGGATGGACACTTCAAAAGACAAAGATTCTCTCTGTCACAGCTGCCATGAGCTAATCAGACCTCATTGATAAAGTGGGGAAATATCACTCGGGGATGTTAGAGCCAGATTGCAAAGTTAAGTGAAAGCAAACTGCAATCCTGACTTCAATTTGAAAGGGAGAAAAAAAAAACCAACAAAAGTCTTTAGATGCATAGATGTGGCAGGCACAGATGTAGATAAAAGCTGCAGATTTGCTTCCAGGAACACAACTTATATGGAATTGAGGGCTTGCATCATAGGCAGGGTAAGAATTGCAACCCATTATTAAAGGTGATCAACATCAGCCCTGATATGATCCTGTGCTGAGAAATCTGAGAATGTTTACTTTGAAACGCTCCAGAGACTTTGGACTTCGGAGAGAGGACTTGAAATGTGGCAGGAGGATGTTCTTTGCATGGTGCAGGGGCTTTTTTCAGTGCCTTTGAAAACTCACAGCAAATTACCCAAGACAAAGGCACCGGGGCTACTGCAGTTCACACCCACGTGCAGCAGAAACTTGCTAGAGTTTATCATCCAAAGCCTCCAAAGATTTAGGAGCAGTGGGAATATCTGAATCTCTCACCAAGTTTGGATTTGATTAAACTGTCCTTTCACCCACTGCATCTCTGAGGCTGACTGGACAAAGAGAATACTGCAAACTGGAGGAGAAAAAAGAACTGAGTGTCAGGAGAAAGCAGAAGTGTCAATGAGAGAACCTGGATCCTGGACATAAAGATCTTGATAAGACTGGAATTATCAGGATAAGGGGACCAGCACTTGCAGTGAGTGGGACAAAGAATTAATGAAGAATTTAAATGTGTTTTTTAATCATAAGATTGCAGAAAGAGGGAAGATGGTTTCTTGGTTAAGGAAGTTGTCCTGGGAACATGAATTCAGCTGCAGAATATAATGCAAAGGCAAACATTTAAACCATATTTTTCAGAAAAGGTAATTAATTTATGTTGTGCCTGGTCCACATCTAACTGGAGACACTAAAGTCTGATTTGCACAAGTGCAGAGCAATTTACTCTTTAGAATAAAAACTACTCTGAAAAAAATCAGGCCTTCCGTGTCTCAAAGCTTAACTTAATTAATACTTCTAGACTTAGTATCTCTGTGCAATTCTGCATCTATTAAAAGGGATAATATTCTCTCCTCTCAAAAAACATATTGTAAAAACAATTCATCCTATGTACCGAATGACAAAGATCACAGGAAAAATGAGATATGCAAGGAAAAATAGGCCTCACCTTGCAACAACTGCTATTAATGGTGCAGTGAGGGCTCTGTCAAAGTCCCTTTTGGTTCCCCAGGGATGATCCTGTTGCAATAGGAGAGCACACACCTGCAGACACACCCCAGTGCAGTGCTGGTGGCAGCATGGCTGGGCTAATCTTCCATCTCCTGAGTGCTATTGCTCAAGGTTGGGCTCACCATTGCTATAGCAATGGTCCACAATACTGTGTCATCACTTCAGAGAGACTGCACGACTGGATCCAAATGTGCTGATAATGAGACTTCATTATTAGTTGAGAAACCACAGAATTTAACAACTTAAAGACTTGACAAGTCCTCTTGGGTTTCCTTCTTCATTCCTCAGCCAGAGAGATTCTCCTCAGTTCACCCATCTCTGAGGATGCTGTAACACCTCCTCGAGTGGCTCCATTTCTTCACGCCTCGAGAAGCACGACAGTCACAAACCCAATCTCCCTGTTCTCCTCCAACCCCAAAAGATTTGAAAATCAGGAAGCAGAACTTTAAACCAGAAAAATGTGAAATTTATCGGGACAGACATTGTAAATGTGAGAGCCATGGCCGAAGGGTGAGGGCTACAATTAAGTGCCACAGAGTTATGAGCAGCCTGCCATACCCACCCTCACAGGGGAGAAGGCTGTGTGGTCATAGTGGGAAAAAAGGCTTTAGAGCCACAGCAGTGGGAGAAGCTAACCAACCAGTAAACCAGACATTAGATGGATAAAAAAAGAGCACTAACCTGTTTGTAATGTATTTGTCTAGTCCTTTTGTTCTTCTGTTTTGCGTTATCAGCTCTTACTACTTTCGCTTGCCTTTTCTAAAACCTCTGTAAAAACCAGCCAGCACATCCTGGCTGTGTACCTTTGGAAAGAGTTTTGCTTCAGGATTATGAGATCCCATCTTACCCTCATTGAAAGAACAGCCTGGAACATGTGCATGTCCAAGTTAGCAAATGGGATTGTGTGTGTGAGTCATCGTGGCAGTGCCCCAGCACAAGGGGAAACTACCTCAAGTGATAAAACCAACCAAAGGGTGCATGTCAGGGATTGCTGATGCTTCATGCACAGATTGCTTTATGCTCCTTGTGGCTGGAATCCCCTATTAATGCAGGGCATGAATCAAGGGTGACTGTGGAGGGCCAGATGGTGCTGAATCTGACTGCGATTTAAATGAGACATCCATGGTACATGAGTCTTTTTACTGTTTCTTTATAACCAGGGTAAATTACAGTCTCCCAGGCATAACGTGGAAATTGCATTTTGGACTAACTGCTCCTGTCCTTTTCTGATTTCCAGGTGTTCACTGTCAGATTAGTGTCAGAGGTAGGTTGCAGGTTAGGTCTTGTATCCGTGTGATTTTGTATCACAGTATGGGAGTTTGAAACTATGATGAAGTAGTTTTACAGATTAAGGTATCCATATCACATCTATGACTCCTGGAAGTTTAGTGATAAGTGCAAGGTACTTTTATGCTGAGATAACTGTGCTATGCTAAGAAGGCTGACATACCAGTAAGCAGAAAGAAACCCCAAAATCACAGATAAAGCGACTCCCCAGTAGATGCAAACCAGTATTTACCGTAGGCTTATGCTTACCCTGCAGAGATGTTCCACAAAATGTTAATGTTTCATTTGATAAAAGAACAGGAGTGTAAGTGCTGACTGGTTCTGAGTTTTGGCTTCTGTTATCCTTTCTGTCTTGCCCCTAATGAACATTTAATTGGCTAAAGCAATGTTTATCCCTACAGTGAGCTGGCAAGCCCAGATAACTGTCTAGATTCTTAATGATATAAACGGGCACAGTTCCAGTGAGTTTAAGGCAGAAATGCTGATTTACTCAGCTGAAAGGTTGGCCTGTTACATTTAATGTTTTTATGTTTTATTCTTTTTTCCACATGGAATTGTGTCTACCAACTGTGTGCAGATGCTTCCTAACCATGAGCTTTAGGATGGCAGGCTGCACCTAGCTCATGTATCTCCTTCCATCCTGCAGCACTATAGAAGACAAAAGGGAAGAGGATTTCTTCTAGTCAGATATTTTCTAATAATCTCGTGTCAATGGGAAATCCCTATAGCTGGAAGTGTGATCTCTATGTATATAAACTTCTAGGGAACAGATGAGAGAGCAGCAAATGCTATTCAAAAATAAATACTCTAATTCCTGGGGACTGAATATCAGTAGAACTAGTTGTACAATGGAAGCAGCTTTTCCTGATAGCACTCAAACACCCAGGTAATAACACGCTTCCTGCCAAAGATAGAGTCTTTGGTGAAAGATTTTTCAGGGGTACCAATTTATATCCAAAAGTCTCTGCATGCACTGACTAATATTG